CTGTTCATCTAGGATTGTGTGAAAAGACACCAAAGAAAGTAGTGGATTGAAACAGCATGATCAGGTCTTCACTCACACATTTGCAATTGGGGTTTGGATCCTTCCATGGGCATAAGAGGAGAGGTTCTGCTGAGATCTGAAAATTCCAGGGCCAGGACACTCATGCACAGGTGGCGCTCAGCTGGGAACTCTGAGAAAGCTGAACGATGAGACCCTGTGATGGGCTGGGGCCAGATCAGGCCAGCTCATGACAGAGGAGTTTTGTGTGATAATTCTTAAACTATCCATAGCAGGGAGCATTTTAACCACAGAAATTTACATAAATTTACATTGCAAATCACAGTTTTGTTTTTCCCTAGAAAGCTGGTTACTCTGTGTTCTCTAGCCCATCCTTGCAGGTGGGCTCAGTTCCTCTCCCTGTGGAATGCTTAGTCTTCCTCCAAGCATGGTATCTGGGCTCCAAAGGCACCAGTCCTCTTAGCACATGTGGACTGCTAAAAAAAATTTAAAATGCCATGAACCAAGTTACTCTAATATTGCCTGGAAGGTCACCCTCACTACCTCTCAGCGCTCTGTCCTGCTGGACAACAGTGACCCTTCATCTTCTTTGTTCCAACCCTCCACACCCTAACTCCTGCCACCACTCGGAACCGCCTGTGGAGGCGGAGAAGTCCAAATCAAGGTGGTATAGAATCAGTGTCTGGTGAGGACCAGCTTTTTGGTTCATATACATCTTCTCACTGTGTCTCCATCTGGTGAAGGAATGAACGAGCTCTCTGGGGCCTCTTCTACAGGGACACTCATTCCATTCATGGGGACCCCGCCGTGCTGACCTGCTCACTTCCAAAAAGGCCCCTTCTTTTAATGCTATCATCTTAGGGTCTAAGACTTCAACATATGAATTTCAGAGGAAAAATGTATCAGGCCACAGCACCATCCAACACAGAGAAAGTGAAAGACACCAGTTCACTAGGGCCTAATTCGAGAAAACAGCATGGCGTCTAGTTGCATGTAGTCTGTCGGTCAAAATGTCACCCGTCCTAGACCCAACAGGAGAGAACAGAAATCTTTCTATCTATAAAAAAGAGTACGAGGATTTAGGGGTCATATTTGAAAACAGCTCAAGGAAGCTATTTCCTTATGGTTTATTGTAAAATAAACCTGCTGCAGACGCCAACACCAGAAACATAGACAGCTTGTGAGACGCGGCTGGGAAAGGCGGACAAAAGGCAGTGGACTCGGAGCTTCTGCCTGTCCCAGCTGGATCTGCAGGCCCAGGAGTGGCTCTGTGGCACAGGCAGCATCAGGACCCTCCCTGCAGGATGGGGGACAAAGGGCTGAGGGGAGGGACAGGGCGACGCACTCTGAGGAGCTGGGAGGTGGAGGGTACTCCTCAGAGCTCACCTCCATGCAGCTCTGACCCATGCTAACACGCATGCTATGTTACATGACTACCCTTTCCTACCGGGTCAAAATCATAACACCAGTGCCCTGCCCAAGGTCCACACACACTGTGTCTGCTGGGGCCACCAGACACCATAAGCGTGTGTGAGAATATGCATGCTGCTCCTGGAAGCCTCTGTCCTCTCACACCTACAGTCCCACCCACAGCTTCTCCAGAATGTTGGCCCCAGCCTGATGATGTCAAGGTTTTTATTGAGTCTAGACTCACTTCAATATTCCCTAAAATTCAAATGCATGTGTCTGAAAAAACAGCTTAAATTGTGTCTACATATAGTGTCTACAGTATGGACACTGATTGTCTACACTGGCCGCAATCAGTGGAAAAATCAGGCTGGGGTTGGGTCTATGGATCAACATGGAAGTGAAAGTACTGTAAAAAAGTTTTAGACGTAACACCTTTTTTGTTTAAACCACAGAATTCTGCCAAGGTTCTGGTGCAGCCAAAAGAGAAAAGTGAAAAGGACCACAGAGAAGAATCCCTCTGTTCTAACTTGAGTGTTACAGTTTGAGAATCACCTGGGGAAGGATGGAGACAATGCCTGGGTATGACCTCAGCACAGACTGAGAGCCTGCTGGGGCTCTGGGCTGCCGAGACCTGACCACAGTCTATGGAGGAGGCAAGGATGGGAGCATGGCCACGAGGCAGACAGAGCAGCGTCCCAGCAGGTGGTTCCCAGTCCTGCAGCCAAGAATGGGAGGGAAGGAGAGCACAAGACTGGGTTGGGGAAGAGAAGGCCACCCCTCCAGCGACAGCAGCCATCAGTGACTCTGAGCCAGCTGGAGGGTCTCTGTTCTCCCTGAGCTCCCCAAATCGCTCTGGGTGCTGCATGGAAAGCCACCACCTGGGCCAGGCCACACATCTGCGACAGGGCTGCTGCACCCGCTCTCCCTCTTCCTGGACGGTGCCCAGGTTTCTGCAGGACACACTCATGACTCCTCCAGCACTGTTGTAAAGAATCTGGGCATCAGTTGGTCCTCAGTGGGCTGACAAAGTCCCTTGCAGTTAAAAACCAAATCCTCACCACTTGTGTGCCAGCCACTTTCTGGCAGGCCCTCCATGTACGGGGACATCGTGTCTTTGGAAACAGCTATACCCCACTTGTCCATCCTGCTGAGGCCCACCAATATCATCACTCAGAAGCCCTTCGCATCCATTGGGGCCACAGCAGGATACAGTCTGTAGCTGGCCCAGCAGGTGATCTCTCCAGGCCATGCCTGGCTCCCAGGTTCTGAGTTTCACGGGGAGGCCCTCACTCCCGCCCATCACAACTCTCAGAGCCTCTGGACAAAGCACACTAGTCCTGGCTATGAGCTTCTGAACATGTAAACTTCCAGGGAAGGTAACTCCTTATGCCCTGGGTGGAGCAGGTGTTCTCTTCTCGTGGCATTTCTTTGCTTTCTCCTTTAGAAACACATGTATCATTGATTCAGATGGAGGCTCCCCGCTCAGGGCATCACAACACTGTGGTGGGTTAAGGGAGTCTCGTTTAGTTCATCATCTCCAAGCCACCAGCCTCCTCAAGCAGCACGGTGGCCTCCTAAAGTCATGGTTATTAATGTCTCTGGATGTGCTACGGACACCCAAGGCACCAAGGTCCTTCCAAGGGCCATCACTTTTATAATTCTCAACCCGATGGCCACCATCTCCTCATCACAATTGGGCTAGACCCACTGTGGTGCCCACCTTGGTGATCACAGAAGAGTTAGCTTCTTTTTCTCTTAGAGATAACATCATTTACATGTTCTCCAATAATCAGACCTCCCCACACCATCACAGGACATCCACCATCTCAACATCAAACATTTATTGAACAATGAATTGTGGATGGATAGAAAACTATGATCCTCTGAGGACTGACGCCCCAGGCCCACTGGCACCCAGCAGGGCCACGAGGCTTTTGCTAGACCACACTTCTCCATTTGACAGACAACTTCTGGCAAAAGCTCCCGTTTTTACCGGTTTTAAAGGTTAGCTAATATTTCCTACTTACTCCTCCTGGCAGCAAGTAGGGATTGTTGCTCCAGAACCCACTGAGGGTGCAGTCAGAGGCAGCAAATGAGGAGAAGAAGCCTTCAAATTAGAGACAACAACTACATCAGGCAAAGACCATATGGAAGTGCCATCACCAAACGTGGCCATGGGGGAGAAAGGCTCCAAGGAAAAGTGGGTGCGAGCTGACCCATGGAAGCACTGGGAAGAAAGCCCTGAGTGACAAGATGTCAGTGTTCTCCATGATTGGCCTTGCTTGGTATCTCGTGTACACATGGCTTGTGGGGTAGCTGTTACACCCAGGCCTTGCAGCCTAGAGAGCTGCTGGGAACAGGACAACCCTAGTCAGAATTTGTACTCCAGGCTGGAAAACTGGGGAATTCCCTGTAAGTCCTGTTAGAGGGGCTGTACCCCAAATACAACCTGACCTGTGTCCAAGGTGGGCAACTCAATTCTTAGATATTGATTGGGTCCCATGGCACCAATGCTTCAACACCAGCAGCCCTCGCAACCTCAGATCACCCTCTTTTAAGGATGAGAAGGTGGTTCTCTGGATGCACAGGCTTCAATCCAAATAGGCTAACGACGCCGCAGCACAAACCCAGACTGCAGCCTGAAGGGTTGGAGCCTTGCATTCACAGAAAGCATCCAGACATCATCATGGACTCAGCGATACACCTGTGCTCCAACGTATACGAGTTACAGATGGAAACCTCCTATGCCTCTCAGGAAGCACCACTCGTTTTTGCTAAATGCTTCTCTGAAGACCCACAGGGCTGAGAAGCTGTACAACACCAGCAGTAAAGTGAATGCCCAGACCCCTCTTCCCTTCTTGGGTGGCCATCTGGAAAGGCCACCCCAACCCCGAAGGCTAACGCTTCAGACCAGTTCTTGGCCCAGATGATCCTAAACAATTGTTTAACCTTGAACTGTTCATTGGCCAAGCAAGGACTGTCCCCTCTGGGGAACTACACGCTGCGTGTACAGCCATAACTCAGGAGAACCCACAAAAGTCTGTTCCACATAGCAACAGAAGCCCAGGTGGCACTCAGTCTCACCGGGGTGTTCTCCAACATCCCAGCTCAGCCAAACGGCTTTGATTTGTTTTTATGGTTAGACCCCAGGACCTCAGGACACTGCTTCAGAAACAGATTCCAAATCCTCTTCTGTGTGTGAGTGGCATTCCTATCCTAGTCTCTTTGTAGGGCGTGTACTATGATAAGCAGCCAGGCTGTCCCGGCGTCTTTAAATACTCCCTTGGTGCAGGTAGTTCACCTCAGCCACAACCAATGCAGCACAGGGTCAATTGTGTTAGGAGCCATGGAGAATCCAGAGTTGGTTGCTGCCCAGGCCTGGTCAGGGCTGGCCAAGGTAGACAAGGGGTTCCTCTGTGGAGTTCAACTTTAACCTCACCTTCCCACCAAATTTCTCAACTGTCCTTGACACCACAATTGTTGAATGAACCCAACAGAAAGTTACCCTAGAAATTAGGACACCTCATCCCAAAAGACCTTTAAATAGGGGAAGTTCACTTGTGCACGGCTGCTCCTTGCTACAGAAGACCTGGGACAGAGGACTGCTGTCTGCCCTCTCTGGTCGCCCTGCCTCGCTAGAAGAGCTGTAAGTAACACAAAACTTAAACTTTTACACTGAGTTTTCATCATTGAAGCTATACCTCCATTCTGACCTCTGACTGGGGGGCCACCCCAGAGGGACCCAGCGGGTGAATCCCCTGCTGTGAACATCTGTCTGAATCTCTGGTGGCTGCTGGGGGCATTGGTTACCAGCTAAGTTAACAGAGAAACTCAAGCAGTTTCCTTCTAAACACACGTGTCCTACTTCATATGTCCAGTAAAGATGATCATAGCTCTTTAGAACATTCTTTCGAGAAAAGCCTATTTAGGTCCTTGGTCTGTTTTTCCATCAGGTTGTTTGATTTTTGCTATTGAGTTGTTTGACTTCCTTATGTATTCGGATATTTGCCCCTTCTACCACGTAGGTTTTGCAAATATTTTCTCTCATTTTCTGGATTATCTTTTCACGCATTTGATTGTTCCTTTGCTATGCAGATGCTTTAGCGTTCAATACAGCCGCACTTGTCTATTTTCCCTTTTATTGCCTGTGCCTTTGTTGCCATAGCCAAGAAATCATTACCTACATCAATGTCAAAAGCTTTATCCTTGTATGCACTTCTAGTAGTTTATGGTTTCGGATGTTGCATTTAGGTCTTTTTAATTCTAGGAATTAGAGTCCTGCCATTGGCTTCCCAAGGAGAGACTTTGCTAGGGGCTGTGCAGAGCAGTGCAGCAATGAAAGCCTTGAAAGATTAGTTAATGGATACAGTTCATCCCACAGGCACGAGCAGACAACTAGAAAAAAAATAACAGCCACTTACAGCTGTCTTAGCCTAAGATGCTTTCAGAAACAGCTTGTCAAAATTTCTCCAGACTCTACAATAATGTTGAATATCAAACGTTTAAACCCAAAGTCCATGTAATTCATTCAGGCAATCACCCAATATTATTCAATTTTTATGTAATTCACTAAGGCAATCACCCAATATTACTGAAATTTTAATCTTCTCTCTAATTCATTATCCATGTAATCTTTTCCAAATCTGTAGTGCTAAATGCTGTCAATTTTGGAATGATTCCTCCATTTATATCTTCAGTTCCAACCACCTAGCTGAACTCCAGACTCCAGATCTCATGTCCTGACATATCCACTAGAATCTCCCACAGGTATCTCATCCCTAGTGTCCAAAACCAAACTCTTCATTGTACATCTCCCCAGCTTGCAGGCACCACGTGCACATACAGGTGTTGTCATTTCAGAAAATGGCACTAGTGTCTCTGCAGTTGTTCAGGGCAAAAAATAAAAATATTCTTCACATATCCCCATATTCCATATTCTTACATCAGCAACTGCTATTGCCACTGTACCTTCAACATAAATTTTGAATGAGGCCACTTCTTATCCCCTGCACTGCTGGCACCCTGGTGCATTATACACTGACTTCTAGCCCAGGTTTCCACAGCCCCCTTGTAACGGGGCTCCTGCTGACACTTTGGTCCACTGTAGTCTATTTTCCACTGAAAATATCAAGGTCTTATCATGGTTTGCAGGTATGAGCCCTGGCTCTTGAACTTCCCCCATTGTCCACACCAGCCACCAGGCTTTTTTCAGAGGAGGTTGTTAAGGGTTGAATTGTGTTACCCCAAAGCTCATATGTTGAAGACTTAACCCCTAGTGTCTCAGAATGTGGCACTGTATCTGGAGAGTCTCTGAAGAAGTCATTAAGTTAAAATGAGGTAATGAGAGTGGGCATTAAACCCAATACGACTGGAATTCTTACAAGAAGAGGTTAGGACACAGTCACACAGAGGACAGACCATGTGAGGATGCAGGGAGAAGACGGCTGTCTACGAGCCAAGGAGAGAGGCTGCAGAGAACACCAGCATGCTAACACCTTCAGAGTTCCAGTCTACAGCACTGTGAGAACACAAATTCTTGTTGTTTTAGCCACTCAGTCTGTGGAAATTTGTTATGATATTCTAAGCTGACTAATCCAGATGCCAACATACAGGGTTTCCACAGCTCATCAGCTCAGAGCACTGGCAGAATCTTGGACAAGAGAAAATTCTTTGGCCGCGATTGCAAAGTCTCAAATGAGACAGTAAGAGTGAATAGTGAGAGATGAACATCATTCAAGTCTATTCCCCAGATACAGCTCAGAGCTAGTGCACAAAGTACAATGGTTGCCACAAGACAAACTCTTCCAAATTGTGTCAGTGTCTAGAGCCCCAGAGGGCAGTGAAAGTTTACCAAAGTGGTAAATTTTTCTTCTGCAAAAACCCTGGCTTTCTCAGCCTGACACCCTCTCTGAGAAAGTGGGCACCCACCTTCTCCCCTACCCCATCCAGGGCCCCTGCCTCCCGGGAAGGAGGGTAGTCTGCTGATGCATGGTCCAGGTGGTGCGCCTCTCCTGCGTCTTTACCTGAAACGTCAGAGGCCGGCTTTCATTTTCACATCTGCATTGATAGACCCTCCCGTATGAGCAGTTTCCCCAAGAATGTCCACTTTCCTCACAGCCAGAGCAGGATGGCAGCTCTGCTTTACAGCGTTCATCAGCGCTGCCCCTGAGCACCGCTTTTCGAGAGCTGGTCAATACCCCTGTCTAGCGAGGCTCTTTCCCAGCCATTTTCAAGATGCAACAACCAGGTACTAAGTCCTGACAGGCACTAATCTCCATGGTTCTCCAGGAATGAACAAATAAGGGAATAACCACACGTATCCACATGTATCCACAAAAGTAGTGCCTCTTTCTTAAAGAGGACGGGGAGCTCATTGCCCTTTCTTAAAGAAGCACTACTTTTGTGGATACATGTGGATATATAGGATGTCCCCACAGCTGTGCTCTTGTAATTGGTGTCCAGCAGCCACTGAACAAGTGGGGAAGTTTCATCCAATAGGCAAAACTGGGCTGTAGGTGCCCACAAGGAGGAGCCGGAGGTCCTCATGTTCACGAAGGCCCCTATCTCTCTCTGTCTCCCATCTGCTTGCCTGTTACCAGCAATAAATATGGTCATGTCTGAGCATCATTTGTCCCCTGGAATATCCTGGAATACAAAACCTCTAGTATACAACCAGATTCTGTTACTCTCTTATTTTCTTCCAGGCCAATTCCCTTGCACCCTACTTTTTTTTAACACAGTTAAGATAATTCCTATGTTAAATAATTAACTCATCCATCGGGGAGTACATGCCTTCTAAGAGTGAATGTCCATATTATCGGTGGAAATCCTGTTTTTGGCCTGGCCCTGAGTGACCTGGACAAGTAGACCTTTCTACCCTGAGGTCCAGCTCCTCAGGGTACAAAGTGCAGCATCGACATCTCTATGAAAATGACCAGGACAATAGAAACAAAAGGTAAGAAAAAAAGTAAAGAAAAAAATAAGAGAAAGAAAAGGGGAGACTACATGGTCCAAATACATTGAGTTTACTGTGAAAACGCATTTTTGGAGATAGAGAGAAGATAAAGCACAAGGTTAAGAGACTAACCTGTTCGTTTCCAGGTTCTCAAATGGAATCTTGCCCTGATTTGGGTCTCAATTAACAAAGCACAAGGACAGCTGAGCCTGTAGCAGGTGTCGCTGAGGATACAGGTCCCAGAGTGATGCCCAGTGACAACAGGTGGGTCTGCAACTGCAGGTGCCCTCACCTGGTGACCTTGAGGAAGAGGGAGCAGCATATTGGGTACAGTACTGGGTTTCAGGGTACAGGAAATCAGATCAGAGCAGCCCAGAGGAGGACTGTGTCTGCTCACAGAAAACATACCTCGCAGATTCTATTAGAGCAGAATAAAGAGATCATTACTGGCCACCTGTCGGCCATTTAAGATCTGGTTCTTCCTTTCATGCTCTCTGTCATTTCTATCACACAGTCCCCTCTCCCTGACACAGGCACTCAGACTCAGAGACATGCACATGCACACGTACAACACATACATCCCCAGTTTCCACCTCCCAACACACTCCCCTCACCACACGTGCATACATACATATCAACATACAAGTATACGCACAGGTGCACACACTCCCTGAAGTGCAGACTCCAAACTCTAATACATCTGGTTTAGCCTCTGAGGCCGAAGCTGCTCAGACTGACATGCACAGGCCGTAAAACCAAATTTTTGCTCCCAAGACCTCTTGGAGAGAGTCTATGGCCCCCAGTTGGGAGTCGAAAGACAGAGGCCATGATAGGTGAAGTCGTTCACTAATGATCCCACAGTTAGTTGATGACACTACTGAGACCACAGCTCCCAACAGACAGCACATTGGCCTGCTGTCTTACCCCAAGCCTATAATCCAGTGTTCATTCCTGCAAAGAGGACACCTACATCTGGGTCCTCTGTCCCAGGTTGTTCCAAGGCTAGGCCCTGGTGCACTTTCTCCAAGAGGCTCCAGAGAAGGACAAGGGTCCTCAGGGCTGTGAGCTTCCTATAGGTCAATGTCTCTCAAGGGACCGAAGGAATTTGAGGACCAAGGGGAGTAAAAAGACCCCAGCTCTGTGCTATCTGGAGGAAGCAGCATCCCAGGGCAATGAGCTACCCCAAACCCGTGTGGCTGTGGGATAGCGGCATCCTTTGGGTTGATAGTTCAGACCTTTGATGGTTCTCCAATCCAGCGGCTGCACTGATACACCTGCTCTTCATGTTCATGAAGGCCCCTATCACTCTTCCTGTCTCGCATCTGCTTGACTGTTACCAGTAATAAACACACTTCTAAGTATTATTTGTTCCCTTGAATATCCTGGAATACAAAACCCTATTATAAAACAAGATTCTGTTGTTACCTTAAGTATTTTCTTTCAGGCCAATTTCCTTGCCCTCTACTTTTTAGTACAGTTAAATTAATTTTTATGTTAAATAATTAAATCATCGATCAGGGAGTACATACCTTCTAAGAGTGAAAGTCCATATTATGGACGGAAATCCTGTTTTTGTCCCAGCCCTGAGTATAGGAGAGGCAAGATTAGACTCAGAATAAGGGACAAGAAAAACAGTATTAAAAAAAATACTAAAATTCGTATGAAATCAGAAACGACAGTGAATAACCAAAGTAATCTTGAGCAAAATAAGAAAGATAGAAGCATCATGCTCTCTGATTTTAAAATGTATCATGAAGTAATTGTAAGCAAAACAGCATACTCTGGCGTAAAAGCAGACACAATAACCAAAGGAAAGGAGGAGAAAGCCCAAAATTAAACCCAAGTATTTATGATTATTTGATCTTCAACAAAGATGCCAAGAACACACCATGGGGCAAGGAGAGTCTCTTCAATAAAAGGTATAAGGAAAACTAGATATCCACAAGCAGAAGAATGAAATTGGACACTTATTCCACACTATACCCAAAAATCAACTCAAAATGGATTAAAGACTTGCATAAAAGACCCGAAATTGTAAATCTAGAAGAAAACATGGGGGAATAACCTTATGACATTTCTCTGGGCAATTATTTCTACAACAGGACTCCAAAAGCAAAGACAACAAAAACAAAAATAGACAAAGGAGGTTATATCAACTAGAAAACTTCTGTACAGAATGGAAACAAAGGGAAGAGATGATCCATGGACTAGGAGAAAGTATCTGTAAACCATACATCTGATGAGGGGTTAATATCCCAAATATATAAGGAAGTCAAACTACTCAATAAGAAGAAGACAAACATCTCAATTTAAAAATGGGCAATAAACCTGGTCCACAGATATATGGAAAACATACTCAACAACACTAATTATCAGGAAAATGCAAATTAAAATCACAAAGAGGTAATCATCTGTTAGAATGGCTTTTAACAAATAGACAAATAATATGTGTTGGTGAGGATATTAAAAAAAAGGGGACGCTTGTACACCATTGGTGGAAATGTAAATTAGTACAGCCATTTTGGAAAATAGTACGGAGGTCCCTCAAAGAACTAAACATAGAACTACCATATGACCCAGCAATCCCACTTCTGGGTATATCTCCAAAAAATTGAAATCACTATATCAGCCGGGCTCGGTGGCTAACGCCTGTAATCCCGGCACTTTGGGAGGCCAAGGCAAGTGGATCGCAAGGTCAGGAGATCAGACCAAGTACATACTCAAGCAGATGGGAAACACAATAGGATAGTAGTGTCCTTATCATCATTAACAGTTTGGATCAAGAAGAGGCATTAAGCACACAGACTCACTCTGTGATGAAAGGCGGGAGAAAGAGGAGCATCCAAGGGATCTTGAGGACGAAGGCAGCCCTTCCCCTCCCAATCACATGCCCACGTCTTCTCACTGCAGCTTCCGTCTCAGGCCTTCTCCCAGCAGAGCTATAAATCCAGGCTCACTCCTCAGTCTCCACACATCCACTCCTGCTCTCCCTCCTCCAGGTGACCCCAGCCATGAGGACCCTCGCCATCCTTGCTGCCATTCTCCTGTTCGCCCTGCTGGCCCAGGCTAAGTCACTCCAGGAAACAGCTGATGACGCTGCAACCCAGGAGCAGCCTGGGGAAGACGACCAGGACCTTGCTGTCTCCTTTGAAGAAAATGGACTCTCTACTCTTAGAGCCTCAGGTAGGAGACATCAATCTTGCAGATCTGCAAAATCTAGAACAAAAGAATGGGAAACAGGCTCTGGCGTGAAGTGTGGAAAAGTCTACCTCACTTGAGTGACTTTACTTAATCTTCCTGGACCTTGATTTTCTCATCTCTGAATTAATCAGTGAGAACCGAAGACATCTAAAAGATTTTCTTTCTTCTAAGACTTTTAGTTTCAAGATATTTCTGTGAAATTTGCTACT